TGTGTACCTGCACAGAAGCTTGTTGCATCTGCTGACTGCAAGTGAAGATGGCTCGAGGCTAAGCCGAAATCCTCTTCAGGTCCTACTCCTCTGTGTTGGAAAGACTGCTACCATGTATGCTAAGACAGTCCAGAGGGAGGATTGCACGAGTGTGTGTGTGTGTGTGCGTGTGTGCGGACCGATGTGCCAGTCAAAGCGGTGAGAGACTGCTTGCAAGTCATGTTCATCGGAGAGCCAGCGACTGCGACAGAGTCTTTCTGAGATTTGGAGGGGAAGCAATGGCAGCTGGCACTGCAGTGCTCACCCCAGGATTGCGCGGAGAGCGTGCGGAGAGGAGGACACAAGAATCTTTCGCCCGACCCGAGCTCTCGAGGCTGTTTTCTCACTCGCCGAGTCGCAACGCTGTCGCAGCCTCTGCAGCTCTCTCCGCCTTTGCCAAGGCATGGTGGGACTCCGTTTTTCCGAGTGTGTTTTCGGGTCAATTACGCTTCCAACTACTAGCTGTGGATGACTGGATGTAGGCCGATGAGAACGCTGTTTCCGTGGCATTGCTACGGAGCTTGGCAGGAGTTAAAAGCAACACACTAGAGACAGAGGGACCAGGCGAAGCCGTGAGAACACATCCCAGCTGAGAGGATTGCAAGTGGAACCTTCGGCCGCCGCCTTCAACGCTGCAAGCTCTACAAGGCCGCAACAGGAACTCGGACTCCGACCGGAGTCGCACCAATTCAAAGCTCTTGCCGTGGCTTTGGCAGGTACTGGAAAGAGAGTCTCTTCTTCCTGCCACGGTCCGAGGATCCGTGTTTTGCTTCGTGGGAGCTCTCCTAGTTGCTACCTGTGCTAACCAAGGCTTTGGGGAGAGGTCTTGGGGGTCGCGGCCACTGCCGCGTCGGCAGGAGCCAGGATCCCAACACGGCCACAGTTGGTTCACTGGCCTGGTATCTGGGAGCCGAGGCCAAAGTGAAAGCCTTCGAATCCGGGGGTCAGTGGCAAAGCATCCTGTCATTGGGAAGGCACCCGCAGCATCCCGCCAGCACATCTCCTTGCGAGGGCTACGCTACGCTCCCACTCAGGCTTGGTACCCAACCTGGAGGGGGAGCCGCGGGGATGGTGTCTGCGGTGTCCGCCTGCGAAGAGGCACTGAGTCAGAAGGCCGGAAGGCGCTGTGAGCGGAGCGAATTGAAGGCCAGCGAATGGGCCAGGACCACGGCGCTGCTCCTGCAGGCCCGGCCATGGGCCACGGGCTGAGGCCAGAGTCGGAGTTCCGCTGCCAGGCGCCCCTGCCGCCGGAAGCCCAACAAGCCCAGGGCCCCGCGACGGCGACGAGGAGTTTTCAAGCCTGAGGCCTTCGGTTGCAGCCTGGAATTCGGCCATGGCTTCCGAGGTGCAGCCGCATGCGCCGCTTTCGCGCCGCGATGCCGTGTTTTGCTGTGCAGGGCTGGCGGGCGGCGCTCTCCAGCCTGGACCGTCCGGACCCAGGAAGCGCTAGTGACCCGTGACAGTGTCAAAGCAAGACCGGGCCGCTTGCGGGAGTTTGCGATTTGCTTGTGCCTCCGCGCTCGCGGCCCAAGACACGCCCAGCGCGTCCGTTGCCTGACGAAGACACAAGACAAGAAGAAATGCACAGACTCTTCAGCTCCTCGGCCGCCCAAGAGACGCGCAGCTGCTTTTCTTTCAGAATTCGCTTGGCGTGCTGAGGTTTGTTGTTGGCGCTACTGGCGCTCTTTGAGCCTACTCTCAGCAATCGATTGGCAAGGCAAGAGGAAGCCGACAGAGAGGCAGCGACGGTACCCTGTGGATGCAACAACAAGGCCACTTGAAGTGCCCTGGTAATCTTCTTTCGAAAGCAGCTTCTGCAAGCCTGCAGTAACACTCGCGCTTGCAGGTAGGTGTTCTGGCACCAAAACACGCCTTGCCTGGCATATCGATTGCGGCGGATGCAGAGTGCTCTCGCCCAAAGCCGCGGACTTACTCAACCTTAGGCCTTCGGTCCAGGCTACGTAGAGCTTGCGGCATTGCCTTGCTTTGCCTTGCTCTGCCTAGGGTCCACAAGTCCCTAACGGGAGGAAAGTACTGCAGCTGTGACGAGGCCAGAGGTCTGAGTCGCCGTACGATGTGATCATGACGCGCGATTCTTCCTCTCCGTGCAAAAGCAGCATGCGTAGCTTGACATTTACGCACACCTCGTCTCGGTTTTTTCTGCGGCAAGTTGCGTTTGCCGACAAAAAACGTTGTGTCCGTGTCCGTTGCAGGGCAAAGCGAGGAACTGGAAGGAGGCTCTCGGAGAGGCTCAGGCTGAGGTGGAGAAAGTCCTTGAGCCAAAGCTCGATGCGATGAAGAAGGCGGTGGCCGAGCTGGAGGCGATCTGGGCAGGCGATCTCTCTGCACTTTGTCTCTTCAAGCGGCCCGTTTTTTCCCAGGAGTCTCTGGGCATCGAGATCGACGCCTCTTCCCTTTCCAAGGTCCGGTTTCTCGTGCGGCGGTTTCCGCGCAAGAGCCTGGTCGAAGTCTTCAGATTCGGGGAAAAACTGGGCCCAAAGAGAGCTTGCGGCTCGCAGATCCTGCCAAGGGCTGGACAAGGCCTTTGGGCCTGCTGCTGCCAAAGCCAGGCCGCTGGCAAGTGCCAGAAGGATGCTGAGGCCAGGCGCCAGCTGGTGCTTCAGCCGAGCTCAGAAAGTCTTGCTCAGATGGAGTCCAGATTCTGGCGAAGCGGCTTTCACCACGAGGCTTGGGAGCCGGAGCTCTGCTCTTCTTGCTACCGTTTTGCCATCGCTGTCGCTGAAGGAGACCCGTGAATGCAGGCAAAGGGATTTTTAGGATGGGATGTGCCTGGCACCAGCACCTCACGTGCAACTCGCCATCTGGCCTCAGTTTCGACAAGTCGCGTCTGACATCGGCACAGCTTCAATGAGGACAACACTTCCCACATTCCAGGGCCATCGCCTGTGCTGTTGTCAATTTTGCTTTCGACGGTCGATTCATGCGATCTATTTCTGCTTTCTTCAACCCTTCAACATCCTTCAACATCCTTCAACATCCTTCAACCCTGTAGGACCCTTGAGCGCTCCCGCGACTCCAGGAGTTCAGATCCTCAAGTCGGGTAATCAGGTAAGCATGGTCATTGCGCCACAGGCTGAGCAAGGCGTCGCCTTGGGGTGAAGTGAGTCAAGCAGCTCAAGTCGACACTCGAAACCCAACGACACGAGAATGCCAGATCTCTTGCAAGCTTGTATGTGGAACGACAGCGAGTCTTGTTCCAGAAACATGAAACTGTAGGTGGTGTGAGGACAAAACGCGGCAAAACCGAGGAAAACACTTGTGAGAGAGAGAGAGAGAGAGTGTGTGTGTGTAGTCATTTTGGCTCAAGCCGCGAGTGGTTCAAGGGTACCCGAGGCCGACCTGCCCGAGCTCTTGTTCTTCTCTCCTCTCTGTCCCTTTGCTGACTTAGGCCTCGGGGGGCTCTCAACCGGGGCGCTTGACACGGAAACTCGCTCGGTCTGCCGCGCCATTGCTGTACACCGAGGGTGTTGTTGCAAGAAGTTATTTGCGAGCCGGGGGTCCAGTTCATGGAAGAGCACGGCTGGACACTGGTCTTTGGCAAGAATTCGAGAGATTGGAGAGGCACAGCAATAGCATTCCGCAGTCACGCAGCCAAGCACACAGACACAACCCTCCTGCCCGAGGGGATAGCCACAACGCTCACACCTCCCAAGCCAGCAAAACCTATACGGTACATCTCGGGGCACATCCCTCACCACGCCACCATAGCACAGACAGAGAGCATTCTTGGGGGATGGCACAGGTCCTTGAGCAAACCCAGGGTGGTGTTGGGCTTTGACGCCAACGAAACCTTCACAGACCCAGACCAGCAGGGGTGGCGAGCCAACACAGGCAGGGGAGAAGCCATTTTGGCAGCACTGCACGAACACTCCCACCTCCTCCCACCCCAGACGCTGCATGCCCCCACGTACCACCCGTACAACACAGCCATGGAATCCCGAAGACTGGACTATGTGACGACCAGGGAGGCCTACCAAGCGGAGGGATGGGTCAAGGAGGGCAGCCGGCACATGGCGAGATCGGACCACGACCTTGTGATCATGAACCTCTCGGCCCCCACAAGCACGGCCAAACAGCACCCACCAACCTGGGAGAGCCGCAGATACGCGAGAGGGGTGAACCCGCAGCAGGAAGCAAGCAAGCCACCTGACCAAACAGACGCGCACACGGCCATTAGCCAGCTAGCGCAGCGCATCACGGAGCAGGGGAGGCCCAGCCAGCGATACCGAGAAAGCGCCGAACTGCGCCAGCTCCGGCAGCAAGCGCGTTCAGCGAACGCAGGGGAGGCAAGAGCATTGTGGAAGCAGGTCTCCCGGCGGCGCAAGCAGGAATACAGAACATGGTACAGGGGGTTGGTGGTGCAAGCGAGCAAAGCCAACTGGGGGGGCTTACAGGGCAATACAGCACACCAGAGCCAGGGTGGGGTGGCAACACACACTCGCGGACGATGCGGCATGGGAGCTCAAGTTGGCAGCTCATGTCAAAAGCATCTTTGCCAAAGCCCCCCCAGCCCGCACGCGACGGCGACTCGCCGACACCCGGGGGGCACTCACCAAGTTGTGCAAACGAACGGAGTGGAAGCCATTCACGGGGGATGACCTGCGCCTGGCCACGCGTACCTGGAAGCACAACAAGGCGACGGGGCCCGATGCCATTACCCATGAGCTGCTGCTCCAGCTCCTTCAAGAACCTTAGTGGGAAACACGCATCTTGCACATGCTCAATGATTTCCTCTACAAGGGGGAACTCCCACCAGCAGTGCTACAAGGCATGACCATTTTACTGCCGAAAACACCAGGCGACCCCCCCACATGGGGTGACACCCGGCCGATCACCCTAAGCTCGGCCATCCTCAAGTGGTTTGCGCAATTGCTGCTGCTCAGGGGAGGCCGCCGACTTCAGCAGGACGCTCCCCTACAATGGGCGGGGACGGGCAAACAGGCTCCGGAGCTGCTGGTGGTCCTCAGGCGGGTAGTTCGGCATGCCAAGGACGGTCACCACCATACCCCAGACGAACGGGGTAAGACAGGGTTCCCCGGACAGCCCAGTGCTTTTCAGCAGAATTGTGGGGGA